GTGAAGCCAGTTACTACTCACTAATTCTGGTGAGACATTTCACCTCCTCTGTAGGTTTTGTGGTCTCTGTTAAGGAAGCTCCCCAGTTAGACCATTCCCAAGACTCCAGAGCAGTCACACTCCTAAGGCCAAAGACTTTCAGTGCTGGGACTGAAGCCCCTCCACAGTGGTGGCTCCAGTGACCCGATGGGTCCTGCTTGACCTTGATGAAGATGGTAACTAATGGATAAGGGAACAGACTCCGAACAGCTCAGCTGCCCAACAACTGTCTCCCATGTGTCATCCTCAGGAATGCCCAGGACCTGCTCCTGTGATGTCACGTGATCATCAAGATGGGAAGAGACCAATCCAGTCCTTCAAGACCATCCAGTCCTACATTTGTTGTGTGCTGGCACGTCCACAGGTGTCCAAGCTTTTGGGGAAGGAGGACCCTGACCTGGGTGGAAGATACAGGGCTGAGGATTTAATCCCTTTGTACCTCAGTCACCTAATTCATAGAACAGGGATAATAATGCTTGCTAAACTCAGAAGCTTTAATTGATTATTTGTTACGATCATCAAGAACTTAGAAGGAAGGCTTTAATGACCTGCAATGTCAATTAACTATTTTATCATCATTGCTGACAAATTGTATGATTTTCCTCCTTTACCACTGACTTTTAAATTGGGAAGGTTTGAGGTGAACTTTGTGTCTTCCTGCTTGATCCCCTTAGGCCACAACCTAGCTGAAGTCTTGGGGTATTATTACAACAGATGAGCAGAGCTTTATGGGTAAATTCTTCAGTCCAAGGTTTCTGTCTTTCTGTTTATCTCATTGTTATGGAGAAAGAATGAAAACAACCTGGCAGAGCCCAACACTGTGGTTAAGGAGGAGGGGCTGCACTAAAACAGGTACAGTGAGGAGAGAGCAAAGTCAAGCGGTGGAGATCCAACCATGTGCCCAAGTGAATCTTAATGGGGCATTGCCATAAAAACCTATGGCTATTTATCACTGCTAACACCATGACAACTGCATATTTAATAATGTAATATATGGAATCATATTCAAACCATGTGTTTGTCTGCACATGAGTTCACTGATATGCTTTCTTTAATTCATTTGACCCAAACATCAGTGTAACCCACTGCAATAATGTTCATTCTTTAAGCTCAGACTCTCATTAAAGCACCCATCAGGCAAGTTCCCTGTCCAAGTTATAGAGACAAGGAGTTCACCAGCTTTTTTGGGAATTTTTTCCAGTGGCTAACTGGTATTGTTAACACATCTGTGTCATATTCCCAGTTGGAGTTTGGTGATTAGAAACTGAGTCCACCCCACAAAAAGGGCTGACTTATCTGAAGTGTTTTAGGTGGTTCCTTACATTCCTATATTTTTCAATTTTTAGACACAGAGAATGAGCAAATGCTGTTTGTCAGCAAAGCCAACCCAGGGCAGGACTATTCTGATGCTCTAGAGTAAAGATTTTTCATAGAATCACAGAATCCTGGAATGGTTTAGGAGGGGAGGGACCTTAAATCCCATTCCATCCCACCCCTGCCATGGGCAGGGACACCTTCCACTATCCCAGGTTGCTCCAAGCCCTGTCCAGCCTGGCCTTAGATGCTTCCAACAATGGGGCAGTCACAGCTTCTCTGGGCACCCTGTGCCAGGGCCTCACCACCCTCACAGGGAAGAATTTTTACAGGATTCTGGCAGTATTGGCTATCAGATTCTGAGTAATCTGAAATATTAGCTTGTCTAATATCTATAAGGAGAGATATTTCATGGCTGGTGTGTTTAGGAGGAAGCACATCCTTAATTACTTTAATTCACATTTCATCTTTTCACATCACAGGTCCAAACTTCTCAGAACAATGGACATACAGCTGAGTGAAATGGTGCCAGAGCACCAAGGGAACATGCTGGGACTGGGACCGGCAGTTTGCATGCGCATGGATAGCCATGTGCATGGATAACCATGCGTGGATAACTATGGATAACCACGTGTGGATAACTATGGATAACCATGTGTAGGGATAACCATGGATAACCATGTGCATGGATAACCATGCGTGGATAACTATGGATAACCACGTGTGGATAACTATGGATAACCATGTGTAGGGATAACTATGGATAACCACGTGCATGGATAACCATGAGTAACCATGTGCATGGATAACCACGTGTGGATAACCATGGATAACCGTGTGCAGGGATAACCATGGATAACCATGTGCAGGGATAACCATGTATAACCATGTGCACAAATAACCATGGATAACCACATGCAGGGATAACCACGGAAGGCTGTGGGCAGGCGGGGGAAGAGCTCATTTTGTTATGGCCTCAGGACACTGAGCTAGAATCAGTCTAACAGGAAGGTGAACGTTATTGAGCCACAAGCTTTCTCTCAGATGGTTTTCTCTTCAGAAGTCTACTTTACCTCCCAAATTAAATTTTTTGGTAATATTCAATAGCTTTAAAAAAAAAACCAAAACAAAAAAAACATTAAGTTGTAGAAGTGTGTCCACAGTTATTTATTACCTGCCTTGTGGTCTGAACAAATATGATTTTGTTATTCTATGTTGTCAATAGAAAAAGCACATATGGTTTTGGTTGACAAAATTATGATAAAATTCACTGTATCCTAAAAAATGATTGAAAAGTTTGCAGATGGTTTCTGGGCATACTAGGGAGGGGGAGGATTGAATTTCAACAAAAGACGTGCCAAATTTTTTTCTCTTCTTACTGTTCACCCTGTTTCCACATCCCAGCTTTTTCCTTATTAGATATGAGGGTAAAGCAGGTATCCAGCCCAGAACTCATCTGTTTCTCTTTAGCATTTGGCATTCCAACACACTTGGTCATGTTCACATGATGTTATACCCAGGTCCCTTCACAGATAAACATGAAATGACATCATAAGTCTCAGGTCACAAATAGCAAGACCTAATTACGGTAATCCAAAGAATTTTTCACACCAAAAATGTCATGTTTGATGAATATTCCTGATCTGAAGGTTTCAGTTAATCTGAATCTTGTGAATCTTGTAGTCTTTTTCTTTGCTTTTTTTTTTAAAATCTAATTTCTATTCTTCTCAGTTCTTTTACTCCCCAAGGGAGAAAAAATTGGGGAGAGGGCCAATCTGCCAACCCAGATCAGCAATTCTCTTGTTTGGTCTGAGCTGATAACCCCTTTTCTTCAGTGCTGTTCACACAGGCAAGGCAAGGCCTTCGGTGGGCTTTGCTGCAGCTGCTTGCTGAGCTTTTGCACCTTCTGTAAAACAAAAGACCTGTTTGAGCTCCATTTTGTGCATTTTATCTCCAAAGCATCTGGATGAAGAGATTCCACTGTCATTGCAGAAACACATCTTCCTTCTACTTTGTCTTTCTGGGGAAAATCCTTCCTTAGCTTTCTGTTTGTCCACAGAGGCTGCAGTGACAGGAGCCCCGTGAATGTGCTGGCTGGGAGGGCCGGCAGTGGGACAGAGCCCTCGGGTGCTGAAGGGAGAAGGGCCTGGCAACTGCAGGCTGGAGGTCTTGAATTAACCCCCATGCACTGGGACCAACCTGCTTTGTGAAAACAACTGGTGGGGAGCACCTCTCGCCTTCTCATGCTTTCCAGTAATTTGGGAACAGACTTCAACCTGTCATAGCAATTTTTCTCTCCATGATGTTCATGGTAGTTGATGATCTGCTACATCAACACCTCTAACAGCTGTTACCATGGCATGCACACTCCACATGGTGATCAGTGGGGGCTGGAAGAACACAACCTGGGCAGGAGAGTCTGCTTTCTCCAGCACAGGGTAGAGGGATGGTGTCCTCACTGTATCTGAACAAGAGGCGAGCTCTGAACTCCGTCCCTGCTCTTTCTTTTGAGCCACATTAGTGATAGATAACCCCGAACACTCTGAATTGATTCAACTTGTGAGAATATTTCCACCTCTGCCAAACCTGTCAGTGGCCTTCAGCAGCTGTCATCCCGCCTGCCCAGGATGTCCGGGGAGCAGCAAGCCAGCCTGGAGCAGATGGGTAATTACTGAAGGGAGAACATCTGGAAGGTGTCACTGGAGTGTTAGTAGCTCTCCCTGTCTATGAGCTATGCCCAAACATGTCGGTAAGTTTCCCAACATGGAATTCATTTTTTCTAACAGGATACATGTGGAAGTTCACGTTTCAGCAGTGGCCAGAAGTGGCTCTTTCCCTCTTCAAAAAGATTTGTGACCTCTTCTTCAGGCTACTGTAATGTGATTTATTCGGGTCTCCTCCTGTCAGAGAGCACTCAGGGGGCCCAGTGGAACAGAAGACAGGAGCACAGGCTGCCAGCTCTGAGTTACTGGGAGCTGTGCTCCATGACCTGCACCCTCTGCCCAAGAGCCACCAGCACACCGAGGCTGGCACTGGGAGGCTCCATGCCAGGGGCCGTTTGTCCAGAGCCACCAGGATACGCAGGGCACGCCAAGCTGTATAAGGACAGCAAGACTCTGTGTGCAGAGCCAGTGTGGGAGTGCAGGACACAACAGAAGGATGTTTCCCATCCCACATCTGCACCCAGCAGCTGTAGCCAGCTCTGAACGCTCTCTGTGCTCCATAAACATCTGGCACATGAAGGAAAACAGGACATGTGTCTGGTACAGCATCAACCACAGAAACACAGGTGCACAACAGTGCCTGTGCCCCCTTCCTAGAGCTGCTTTGATGCTGGAGGGGATCCCTGGGATGTGGGGGACATAGCCCAGCACCAGGAAATGTCCACAGCCACCCAGCCATACCTGTTCAGCCCAAGGGCCCCTGTCCTACAGCACTGACACACCTCCTGCATGGGCAGTTAGTGCACTGTGCAGAGGAAAGATTTTGCAAAGCCTTGAGCAGTGACCAAGGAGGGAGATGCTCCCCATGCTCATACCTGCTTCCAGCCAAGAACCAAATCTTATCTAAAACCATTTCCTCATTCAGCATGTCTCCAAGCACGTATTAAAATCATCAGTTTAACGACCACAATGACCCCAGACAAACACAGCAGCTGGAAGATCCATAGCAACAACTCAAACAACATCCTTGCAGAACACAGCACATCACGTGGCTTTCCCAACACCACACCTCTGAAGGTACATTCTCAAAGCAACCATGGGAACAGCTTGGACAGAGAGCAACACACTTTTATGCCTTGTCTGAGCTGCCAGCCTCTGTCCAAGGCCCTAAGAGGCAGGGTCAGCACTCTGCATCACTGCAAGTCCTTGGTGTAATGCTTAAACCTCTAACCCACCAGTTCAGAGGGAAGAATTCTGCCCAGTTCTTCCTGACATGCAGTAAAATAACACATTTATTTACTTGCTTGAACCCACCAATATGCTGTTCATTTCAGTGATTGATAGAATTGGGTTATAATAAGCATACTTTATTATTGAAAAATTTAATTTAAGGTTTAAACATAAAACAAATGGTATTTTCAAATCTATTTTAATGGAGACTATCAAAACCATTCCATTGCCATAAGGGAAAAATTCTGTCTCCATATCTGTTATGTATATACGCATAAAATCTTCAGCCTACAAGTCAAAGTCGCCTGTCCTTCTATCAATCCATCATTTTGAAAATAGAATACAGAAAGCCTTATTTTTTCACTTAATTTTCATTAGATTCTTGAGGGAATTAAAATAACACAATAATGGGCAAATGCTGCCACCACAAATCCAAATGACAGCAATGAATCTACTTACAGACAGAATTCGGCCAAAACTCCAGCTTAGAGTGCCAAGAACAGAGCAGACACCCATAAAAGTACTCTTAGAGCTCGACAGTGTCAGGTAGGTAAATAATCTGCTTCAAATCCAGACAGGAATATGCATTCCTTTAATGGCTGGTGTTGCCTGGTGCTCACAGTGACGGACTCACCGTGTCCATCCTCACCCAGGCTTTCCCTGCCCAGGTGTCAGCTGGGCAATCCTCACAAGCACTGTGTCAAAGGGCCCAGCCCAGCAACCTGCCAGGACACCTCTGGCCTTCCAGCAGGACAGGAGAGGCACCAGGTGTGTGGGGTGACTGTCCCTTTCTTTGTGCACCTCGTGCCATTCACCTCTCCCCACAGACACACTTGGAAAGCTACTTGACAATACATTGAGAGAAGACCTTCATAAAGCTTTTTCCTGACACTTTCCAGACACTTCTCCATGTCCAGTGAAGACATCACCTTTCCCATCTTTAAAATAAAAAAATGCAAAAAGATATTGTCATGGCAAGAGAACATCCTGAAGAAGAACACCCTTCCCTTCTCCTTGCCCTCCCCTGTCTTTCCCCACGGCTGCAGGTGCCTGCTGTGTGACACAGGTTTTTCAGCGTGGTCCTTCAGCCCCATCCTCTCAGCTGTGTGGTTGGAAGATAACTCTGCCCAGCTGGTGGCCTCAGTCAGGCCCGCACCCTGAGCTAAAAGCACTCAGGGCAGCATAGCTCAGCACAGCACCGTCCTGGGGTCAGGACAGATGCCTATAGCTGCCTATGTTGGCCCTGCTCTCCTCAAACCCTTGCTCTGTTCCTGTTGTTTATTTGTGGACACAGACAAAACAGGCTTTTAATTTGAATACACTTAAATAAAATGCCATGGGGCTGCCAGCTTGCTGTTGGTAAGTTCAGCTTCAGCCATGCACTGAAGTTCAGGTGGGAGGAATGTTCTCATTCACATTTTCCTTACATTTTCTTAAAACACCTCAAACCACAGCACCACATGAAAAGCACAAGGTGTTGGCTGAATTCTTTTTTGATAATTTTAAATTACTTAAATGATGGCCTATATGCTAATGGGGTTTTCCCACAGCCCTGATAAGTCCACAGCTTCACCTCCTCAGCAGGTCAGACCCTTGGTACATTTTGCCTTGTTGCAGGAAAGGAATTTATCTTTTGCAATGACTTATTCTTTCCCTGGATGTTCCTTTGATGCAGGTCTATTGTTTCAGGGGAAAACAAATGTATTCCTTTAGCAGGTTTGTGCCTTCAGTGGAATTTGTTCTAAGGAGGTTCCACTGCACAAACACAAAAAGCCCTAATAGATGCAGACTGGGGCTGCCGCACGCAGGCACATGTCAGGTTTGATGACTGATGGTACTTACACAGATTTACACAACAAAAAGTACATTAAAAGGACGTTAAGATTGTGAGCCAATGTCACAAAAGCGTGGAAATTCACATTTCAGGATTTAAACTTTCAATATTGACAGGGAATGCTGAATATTAAAATGGGCTCCCATTAGAGTGAAGGCACTGAATAATTTTTAATCTAGACTATTAATTTCCTGAAATTTGTTGTTCTCTCTGCCTCTTAAGGCTTTCACATTTTTAATTAACTTTTTGTTGTGTCCTTGTCTTGTAATTTCTGAGTTGCTCCTCCAGTATAATTACATAATATATGCAGCACGTGTGATAGCTTAATTGGAAATATTAACCACAATATGCACGGAAATCATAAAAAGCTTCACGAAACTTTGAGAGTAAATGTTTCTACAGCTTTAGTGAGTTTATAAATGGTTGCTTCCAGTATTAGTCTCTAATAAAAACAATTACACCTAATGCCAGCCCAATCTGGAGTAGAATTAGGAATAAGAAGAAGAATAATTAGTACCTACAGAATCCCTATCACTGCAATGTTATTGGTTTCAGGTGGAAAAACAGATTTAGGCACAGGCAGCCAACATTAACCCCCTTCTCTTTGATCCCCTGACCTCCTCCCCCCAGGTCTGGCATTATTCCTACAAACCCCTTTTGGATCCAAAGCTTTCAGATGTTGAATTGCTCTTAGGAGATGGGGAGCACTAAAATAAATGGGAACCGAAGGTGCTTAGAAACGTGTGCAGCCTGAAGGATGCAAAGCTAAAAACAGGAAAGTAAATTGTATTTTGGTATTTTTTTGTAGCATTCAAAAAGATTATTCCCAAGTTTATGCCAGGTCTTATCCTGCTGTCAGCTCTCTCAAGCTATTTTACAAGACTTCCACAGAAAAGCGTGAGCAAACCCAACGTGCTGTAACTTTAACTCGCAGTCTTGCTGCAGGAATATGCAAGTTAAACCAGTGGATAAAAAACTCCCCCCATAATGACTACTTGCTCTGCACTGGAAAGGGGCTGGGATAGAAGGAGGGAGAGGAGGACAGGGAGGAAAGCAGAGTGCAAAGAGATAAAGCAGAAACTGCTATTTTGAATACAATTTATGTTTGCTAATTCCATTTCTATCCCTCCAGAAGTGAGGCTCCATCTTAAAGCACGCTGCAGCCATTTTACCTTCACCAAGAAGGAACAGAAAATAGTGTTCTTCCTGAAATAACCCAGCATATTGGTTCATGGGCTGTTGGGGCCTAAGCAATGGGTAATGCATGATTAAGGCCAGAAGCAATTAAAAAGAGCAACTTCCTTAATATCTCAAGACAACTCTGGAATTCCAAGGCCAAAGGAGCTGCCTGTCTCCAGAAGTGCCCCCACAGTTCTATGTTAAACCGGGACTGCAATTCATCAGCCCTTAGATTATTTCAAAATACAATCATTTATTGGGCTCTGTATTTGTTGAATTTGCTTTCCTGCCTGCAGCAGCTTCACTTCAGATGAGCACAAACAATGTCTGCCATTCCCTTCCAGAGGCAGTGCCTGGGAGCCTGCCATCCTGTCAGGGCACCAAGCAGCACCATCAAACACGGACCCCGGCATGGGAGAGAGAACAGGGCGGCAACACCGGGAAGAGGGCACAGCCTGGGGGAAACACCTCGGCGGTCAGCAGCCGAGAGGAAAGGTGGGCAGCACGTAGAATATGAAACACGTCTTGCAGAGAAACGTGTCTGTGATGCAGGACGTGCCAGAGGCTCTCCAAGATGCCAGTGAAAGAACTGCACCAGGCACGTGCTGTCCCCACAGAGGACATGGCTGGCACAGGCCCCTCCCGACATCGGCTGGGGCTTGGCAAGGCGCTTTCCAGAGCCTGAGGAAAAGCATGAGTACTCATTTATCTGCTCCCTGAGTGGATAATGAATGTACAGGTCTGATGTGCTCCGGAAAGAGTCTCAGGTTCTAAGAGTGGCAGGGAGTGCATCAGAGATAAGGCTGTTGGTGTAACAATGGGCTTTGGCCGTATTTCATGGCCCTGGATCAAAGTCCACTACTCCTTTTCAGGCACCCCTAAAACTGGGGTTTGACAATCAGAAGACCATTTCTACTGAAGGGAGCTGTCTAAGGAGTATCTCAGGTGGCTGAGCATTTTTTTCCTAGCAGAAAGTAAAATGAACACAGGTTATTAGAAGGAATTGTTTTCCTCCCCATAGAAAAAACCACACACACTGAAATTTGGACACACAATAATCCAAGATGTGACAGAAAAGTCAAACACTCCAACTAGACTGTCTCATTGCTATATGACCCTGTTTATTTGCAAGCAACCTGGGAATCCTGAACTGAGCAGATCCCAGAGCTGCAGCCTTTAAGGGGTTGAATTTTGGTTTATCCAAGAAACAGATTTCAGCCTCCACTCTGACTAAAGCCAGCGTTACCAGAACTGTGGTCATACTCATCATACTGAGCTTCAGCAGAAGACCACTATCAGTAACACTAAAAGCCATGCTGTAGCCAACAAATTGTTATGGCAAAGCACGACAGCATCTCCCAAGTGTCCCCATACTACCCAGCCCGAGTCTGGCTCCTTTCCCACACCGCCTCCATGTCCCAGCCGGCAGACACTGAGTCGTCCTCCCCTGAAAGGCTGAGAAGGGCACTTTATTCTTTCCAGGTGTCCTGCCCTGGCTTATTTATGGGCTCACTTTCTTCCCTAGTGTGAGAAACACAAGCTTTTAGAGCCAGCTGGGAAGGATTGGCAAGATGCATTTGGAAGGTGAAAAAAATTAGCGATGCTTTTTTCTCTCCAACCTTTACTCACCTTATCAGCAGGGAATTTTTCAGAGCCTCAGCATCTGCCCCACGAGCAACAATGCACAAAGGCACTGGGTGATGAAACATGGTCACATCTGACAAACCTGGGCTCTGGCTTAGGATAAACCTCCCATGAGGAACATAATGGAAGCTAGACTGGTATTTCTGTTCTCCAGGGCTTTGGTAAAATCACAGCAAGCCCTGCACAGCCCAGGAGCCATCACATCTCCTGCAGGCCTGATAAAGTCACCTTCTCCTGTTCCCAAGCCAGTGTGGTGGGGACAGAGAGGAGAGGTCCCCTTGCAGTACCACATCAACCCAGAATGACATCCAGCAGCTCCCAACAGCCCAGGAGCCTAGTAACCCTCCAGCTGGATGAATCTCATTTTTCAAATGGAAATGGCACAACACAAAGAACCACTTGTGCATCACCAGTGGCTCCTCCAACTGCAAATTCACACCAGCAGCAAGGGGTCTTTTTCCTGCTGGAAAAGCGACACAGAGAACGTGTTGCAGCAGCTTCACCAAGCCCAGAATCCCTGTGGGACCAAACCAAGGCAAAGTTCAGCGGTGCTGGACAGAGCCCACGGGGCCTGTCCTCATCACTGAGCTCCTGCCCTTGGGCTCTTGGTCATCAGAAAGGTGACGTGGGAAACGTGCCAGGAGCTCAGTTTTGAAACACAGAAGCATGAAGACCCTGAAGAAGTTTTTTCTTGAAAGAAAATTAATCTTGGGTTTATCAAAATGAAGTGTCAGATACCTTTATGCTGATGTGAGAGAGATCCTACCCTGCTTGGTTAATGGCAGGTTATTCTTTTTCCTATGCTGTCAACTATTGTTACTGATTGTTAATAGCATTAATATTTCCATCACTTAATTTATTTCATTAATCCCATTCAAGTTTACCATTCCCAGCATATGAACTGTAAATAGCAATAATAATGCCATCAAGGTTAATATCAGTGATGCTGAAGGGTATTATGTAAAACACAGGCTGTGAGCGGCAGCGAGACAGGCGCCTATAAAACCTGCCCGCGCTAGCGGGGGGTGGGTTAAACAAAGGTCTCGCGCAGATTTACGGAATTGCGTTATCTTCTGGAAGAGGTGAAGATTTAATACCCAAAGCCTCCTTTAAATTTCCTATAATGTTCCCTTCTATCCCTTGACTGTAAAAATACAGCCAGAGACATCCATAAGGAATGGCATTTTTAGCTTAAATTATTAAAAGTCTAATAGTGGTTTCAGTTTGCTTCTAAAAGCAAAGGCAATGGCAACAGACTGTTTTTCCCCT